CAAGGGGGGAAGATCCTCTATGAGGTGGATTGATTCAGTGACTGGGGTAATCGGGATGGATGTGTCAGAGGCAATGAGATTGGCACAGGATAGAGCACGGTTTAGGGCTGTTGTAGATAGGGTCGCTATGAGTCCCAAACGACTCTACGGCACATAACAACAAAAACAACAAGTGTTACATAACCAGCTTGCCAGGTTGACACACATTTGGGGGGAGGGGAGAGGATACACAATTCAACTCATAAAAGAAAGTTAGCCAGGATCATTATCAACTCCTATGGAACAAAAATACCTTTAATTTTATGATGTTTTTGTTGTTGTTGAATACCTTCAAGTCAAGGCTGGCCCATAGCCGACATTCCAGTGGATTTTCAGAGACAATCAAATGAGAGGCGATTGCCCATCCTTCTCCTGTGGAGCCGCTGGTTGTTTCGAACCATATACCTTCAGGATTGCAGTATAGCTTCTTACCCTTACGCCACTAATCTTAAAAAAAGATAGGGGGAAAATACAGAATTTCCATCCATTTTATACTATTTTCAGTTCAGAAAACAACCAAGGGGTTAATGACCCAGGTCCGCAGAAAGCCCTTCATCTGTAAGATTGTTGTTGGGGTATGGGTTTTTTTTTTTCTTTTTAAATATCATCAGCAACGAGACCAGTTTTCCCAACTGGAAATAGGAAGAGTTTTGCAGCTGCAGTATAAACAAAAATAATGGACAATAGTGGTGGACTAGATACAACAGAGATTTTGCCAGGCTACATATTTAGAACTGCAAGAACAGTACCAGAAAGAGCAAATTAACTAGTACTTAACTACCAGCCAGGGGGTGTTTTGCAGAGTCATACATTGCAACAAGCTGAAGGGAAGGCAATGATAAACCAGACAAGGAGTTTAGGGTTAGAAGGTAAGGTGGTTGTTGTTTTTATGTGCCCAAAAGTCCTGTGCAACTCATAGTAACCCTATGCAAAATAGGTCTAAACCCTGCCCTGTACTGAGTCAATCTCACTGTCTCCCACACATCTAATTCCATTTCCCCAGTTACTTTGGCAATCTGTCTCCTCCAGGGTCTTCTCCTCTGTGATGTACCTCCAGTCTTCTAAGTGTCCTTCTCCAAAGACTGGTCAACATACCTCCTGGCAACATACTTAAAGTATGTGAAACAGAGCCTCAAAGGAGTAAGTTGACTTCATCCTCTCCAGACAAACCTGTTTCTTCTCTTAGTGGTCCATGGTATGCTCAGTACTCTTAACCAGCACCACAACTCAAAGGCATTGATTTTCTTCTCTCACCTTCATCATTGTCTAGCTCTCTGGAGTGCAGCAAAAAGTTGCTGCGACCATGGCCTGGATCAGTCATGTCTTAGTGTCTAGACTGACATCTTGACTCTTTAGCCCTTTGGAGAAGTTCCTGACAGCAGATTTTCCTAATGCATTTGATTCCTGAGTGCTGGTGCCAGGAGTGGTGATTGTGAACTAGAGCAAGCTGAAATTGTTAACAATCTCCATCCCCTCTCTGTCTGTTATGATGATACCAGTTGGCCCAGTGGTGAGAATCTCTGTTTTGTTAATGTTGGGTTTCAATTCATGCTGAAGATTACTGTCATGGCATTCTGCAATAAACACATCTGATCCTCTGCAGTTTTGGAAATCAAGGTTGTGACATCGGCATAA